TCCATAATAAAATATCAAATTTTGTTGGGAGACGGTGATAAGTTGCAAGTTGATATACTTGGACTAATTAAGTCTAGAGAAACCTTGGATTACACAGAAGAGAAGAGAAGCTCGATGGTATTATAGTCTCTAAGGCATGGATTGATATGTTTAGGGAGGACAAAGCAACATTGGACAATGCTACATGCAAATATATATATATATATATATATATATATATATATATATATATATATATATATATATATATATATATATATATAGAGAGAGAGAGAGAGAGAGAGTTGCACTCGGGTGCGAACGGCTCGCCCAGGCGCGAAATAGGAATGGATTCTGTTCGTCCACGTGTCCAGATCTAATGGATGAGAAACACTGACTTTTTAAAAAAACGCGGTGGCATTTTCGTAAATAATTAAACATCAAAGTGCAAGTAAAATGTATTACAAGTGCATGTAAAATGTATTATAGGTGCAAGTAAAAATTTACACTGAGCATCAATACTTAGTTGCACTTATAGTTCTAAGTAGTTGCACCTATAGTTCTAAGTAGTTGCACAAATAGGTATAAGTAGTTGCATCTAGGTGTATGAATGTTTGCGAGTGGTTTTCAGGAGTAGTACTACCTGCTGAACTCAGATCAATGAATGTTAACAAGACAAAATTACATGCACTTATAGGTGAAAGTAGGTGCACATATAGTTATAAGTAGTTGCACCTATTGTTATAAATAGTTGCACACATAGTTATAAGCACACCCAGGTGCATGAATGGTTGCGGAAAGTGAATGCTAACAAGGCAAAATTACATGCACTTATAGGTGAAAATAGGTGCACTTATAAGAGATTTTACTTGCACTTCGATGTTCAATTATTTACGAAAATGCCACAGCGTTTTTTTTTTTAAGTTATTAGATCTGGACACGTGTCACACGCTGATTCGTTCGCATTTCCTTCCTGGGCACTTATTCGCACCTGAGTGCGTCCCTATATATATATATATATATATATATATATATATATATATATATATATATATATATATATATATATATATATATATATATATATGCATGTGTGTGTGTGTGCGCGTGTGACGCGCAATGAGTCAATGACCATCTCACTCTGGTACAATCGTTATACCCTACACCACGGAGCGTGTAGCACTGTGCACCGCGCGCCTCCCAAAACGACGTCATTTTGGGAGGCGCGGTAGGAAGTTGCTGTGATTATGTATATTTGTTCATACAATTATGTACATTTTTTATATAATTATGTACATTCTTTTTATACAATTATGTACATCCCAATCAAGAAATTTTTGTGTATTATGTTACCAGTTGATGTGTATTATGTTAAAAGTTTATGTTTATTATGTATTATGTTAGATTATGTGATATTATCTTTTAAAAAAGAGTATGTATATTTTGATATATAATTATGTACATTCATGTATACAATTATGTGTATTCTAGTATAACATTATGTACATTTTTGAACATAGGTTTTCTTTTCAAAGAAAAATTAACTGCCAAACACTGGGGCGGAAAATTTCAAAAAAAAAAAAAAAATTGAAATGACGTCGTTTTGTATCTAAGCGCACAATGCAACGCGCGCCGTTATGCAGGATATAAATTGCCATTCAAATCATGCATAAACAAGCTAGGATGACATGCATGGTTTTTTAAGAAAATTAAATTTAAGAAATTTGTAGCCAAGTAGCTAGGAATACAAGGAATTGATCAAATTTAAAACAAAATTGACCAAACTAAGTCATCTTAAGATTGAAATATAGAAAACAATATATAATGATCCCAAACTAAGTCACTAAGTCAGCTTTGGCCGATTACTCGAGTGTCTCCTTGAAACTATTGTACCTCCTCTGATAGATATAGACAACAAATTAAATGCATAAATACGAGTATACAATATATATTATATTAAAGAAGCTTGGCATATATATATATATATATATATATATATATATATATATATATATGCTGAAGATGTAAAGTAGGAAACCTAATTGTTCACCTTAATAGGCTAGGAAGGCTCCCATATCGACGAACAGGGGAAGGAGGGGCTGTATAATCAGGCTGGAAAGACTACAGTACAATGAAAGAAAATCAAGTAAAAATTAAAATAAATAAAAGAATGAGAAAGATTTAAACATGATATTGTTTGGGCTTCATGTAATTAATAGAATGTGTTAACAATAATCTCCATTAGATTTACAATGATACATAAATTCAGATTTAAAGTACCTCCTATATATAGTTAGGGTCTATTTAAGATATCTCATGATTAAATCAAAAAAAAGAAAAACCAGAGCTTAGTTACCTGGTTGCAAATCTCACACACGGTGTCACCTTTCTGATTGCACCAGCTTTGGACACATCCTCTATGTGCATACTGAAACCGTCCAAAACAAATTAATACGATTAAGCTCCAAATAAATTTGATTTGCTCTTATGTAAATAAAATTAAAAACAATAGATTATATTATATATGATAAGTTGGGCGGGAGATTTAAAATAAGCTAACTAGCTTAGCAGTTAGAGCCACGTATAAACACTACTACAGAAAACGATTTTAACGTCGGTTAAAATACCCCATTTAACGTCGGTTATCTTTCGACGTCGTCTTAAGAGACGTCGTAAGTAAATCATACGATGTCAGTTGAACAACCGATGTCGTATGTAATATACGGCTTTGGCTTTTACCTAAAAGCCGAAGCCGTATATATATATATATATATATATATATATATATATATATATATATATATATATATATATATATATATATATATATATATATATATATATATATATTTTAAATAATTTACATAGGACGTCGGTTTTTAGGTAAACGCCGAAGCCGTATATATTTATTATTTTTAAAAAATAAAAAATAATTATCCTACGGCGTCGATTTTTGGGTAAAAACCGACGCCGTATATATATATATATATATATATATATATATATATATATATATATATTTATTTATTTATTTATTTATTTATATATTTAAAAAATAATAAATATATACGGCTTCGGCTTTTACCTAAAATCCGAAGCCGTATATATTTATTATTTTTTAAAAAAATAATAATTAACCTACGACGTCGATTTTTAGGTATAAACCGACGCCTTATGTTCTTTTTTTTTTTTTTTTTTTTTTTTTTTTTTTTATTTATATGCGTTTTATGTTTTCTACCCCACCTGTATCAATTTTCAAACCCTGCGCAGCTAGCAATTTAACATTCAGCATTCAACATCAACTAATTTATTAAACTAATTCAAGCTACTAAACATAAAACTAATATAAGTACCACAATTCAACAAAACTACTAAACATTAAGCCAATAAACATAAACTAATTTTAAACGTAAAGTATCAAACTATTAAACATGAAACTAATATAAAGAACACAATTCATTAAGCTAATTCAAGCTACTAAACATAAAACTAATATAAGTACCACAATTCAACAAAGCTACTAAACATTAAGCCAATAAACATAAACTAATTTTAAACGTAAAGTATCAACTAAGAAGCGTTTTATTAACCCATTCATCAATAAGAAGCTTAGACCATTTGTCTCTAACTTCATCAATCTGTTTTTTGTTGTAGGGCAATCTTCCTTGTCTTTCCAAAGCCTACAAAGTTCAAAAGAAATAAAATTAATAAATAAGAAAGTATTTTTAAACATTTGAAGCCAAAAGATATATTAAGAAATTACTTGCCTTATCCATTCCTTTGCTTAGATTGTTGGAAACAATTTCCAACATGAACTTCATCACATAATAACCACATTCGGTGGTTCCCTTTTGTATAGCACACTACATTGAATTACAATAAAAATAAAATAAATTAATAAAAAAAAACAATAAGTTTGCATGTTTTACAAAGTGAATGAAGTACTTACCGAACATATAGTCCATTTTGGTGAACGATTTTGTTTCTTTCCACTCATCATGTTTGTTGCAGTCATACACCTATTAATATAAGACATAGAATATATATAAATACTTGGCATCACTAGTTTAATGATAACTATTAATTAATTATATAAATTTACATACGTTTCCATTATATGTTTAATGTCTTCACGCGGCCCATGACCAAGTGAATCAAACCAAAAAATTTCATTTAGTTGAGGACAAATCGCCATCAACATCCAATGCTCACTACAAATAAATAATTTATTAGTTTTAAGTGAATATAATATATAAGTACTTTTATTTAAAACGTAATTAATACTTACTTGAGAACATATGGGGCTAAGTATACCAATTTCTTCCCCGACTGCATGGTGGCATTTATATATGATTTCCTGTCTTCCATATTATTCATTTGTGGTTGAATCCAATATGGATCTAGGAAGCCATACGTGTCTTTTGATGCCAACTCAAAACTAATGTAAATACCCCTATTCACAAACACAACCAATTATATATAGATTACCAACTATATAAATATAAAACTATTATGAATAAATAATACTAAAGAACTTATTACCTCATAAAGAACTGAATTAGAGAAACATCGATGGTCTCCATATTTAAGAAACGCATTATCTCATCACTTAGAAGGTGCAAGTCATAGTCAATGTTGCCCATAATACCACGAGCCACATGGACCACAAGAGGGTGTTCAAAATGGCGAGCTATTGAAAAGGCCTTTTTGCATCCATCAGTCAAAGAATCATCATCAGGTATAGTGAATTGTTGATGAACGGATTGCACACCCGAATGAAAAGTCAATTTAGTCTTTTCTTTTGACTGTGAATTAGAATACAAGTAAGAATTATTATTTTAAAAAGTAAATTACTTACTATTTTAAAATAGAAATATTTTCAGTATACATACCACATCAACTTTAGTACATAACTCTACCAGCTTCTTTGGCCAAGCAATAAAGTGTTGAATTGCATCACCTACAAGCTGAACCTCACTGGTGGGGATTGGTACATGTGCACTTGGATCACTAACTTCATTTACGCTCACCTTCACATGATTTATATCCAGTACAACCCCATGAACCTGTCCACCACTGTAAGCTATCCCATATGCTACTGGACGTCTAATTGGATCTTCTAAGAACAGTTGACATCGTGCCCCTAACTACAATAATTTTTAATTAAAAATCATATAACATTTTATTGATAAATAATAATAAGATAACTTTAAACGAATACTTACAGCCGGTAAATTACTAAAAGGGTCTGGGGAACTAGCTTTGTCACTTGGAGGTAGTGACACAACATCCACACATACGTCATCCACCTGCTTTGCTTGTAAAGGAGTCTGCATAGCACTAAATTTCAACATCATACTAGCTATTTTTGCCTCAAATTGCTCAGTTAATCGTTGACCAAATTCCTCCCGTTCAGAAATATTTTGCTGCTTTTGTTTCTCTAACGCTACTGCAACAGCATCATCAACCATTTGTTGAACATCTTCAGGAGGCTTTTCGCGACGTTTTGCATGGCCAAATACACTTTTGAAGCCATGTCCTCTTCCCATGGCTCTAACACGTCCAGAATGCTCATCAGTACCTAATGCAACAGTCAATGAATCTTGTCTTCCTTTCTCAACAAATTCTCCTTGAGAAATTTGGATCTCAAGAGCATCCTAACATATATAAAAATTATTCAATAATAATTACTATTACTTTAGTAAATGACAACATATTTACTTACAATTTTTTCCGCCACCAATCTTGTTGATTCAGTGCGATAATTTCCTGACTTGTCAATTCTTGCTTTCTTCCACTTTTCGGCTCTACGTGGAGGACTTGGAGGACTCATTGTATACGTCGGATCTGCATCAGCCAACGCTTGTTTTTCTTTCAACTTCTCATCCATCATCATCTTCTCCAACCTTTTATAACCTCCTCAAGCTAAAAGATGTGGATGAATATTCTTAGCTTGTATGTCTTGATATTTTTTTCTTTTTGCCTATATAAATACAAAATATTAATCAAACTCTTTACATGTCCCTCATAATAATGATAGAGTTTATGTTGGAAATATTGATAGAATAATAACGATACCTCATATGCTGAACCTGTATGCGACTTTACAAACTCATCCCATGTCTCTTGTTCAATGAAGTTGTATTTTATACATGGGCTCATACCTGCAAAACTACCGTATATATACTTGCTCACCAATTTCGCTTTAAAATCTTTCCACCGATCACCCACATATCTTAACCATACTCTCCTCATATCAGTTGTTTCGGGAATATCATAAGTATTCTGCAAAACAAAATTATTTATTAGTTAGAAATGTAATTATAGAAACTTTATGAATAAATCAAAATCTTACAAAATTAAAAGTTACCAGGATTTGTTTCCAAATAGTACTCTTAATATTTTCTGGGACATTCGGCCATTCATCTATGGTGATAGGAGTATGTATTCGTCCCACTAATGCAACATAACTTTTAAATGCACTGCCTTCTGGCCCGTAGACAGGCTCCAATCCATCAAGCTCAATGTGGTGTTTCCCTTCAGTAGAACGCTGCAGAATGAGTTTTTGCATACGAGTGGCGCCCCTCGTCTTAGAAGTAGTATTACTACTTTGAGTAGTATGAGTATCTTGTGCAGTACCATCCTCTGTAGTACCATCACCATTTGCTGAATCCATACGCCTGTTTAGAAATAAAAATTATTAGAATATATAAAAGTACTACAATAAGAAAACTAAAAAACAAAATAAATAGCGGGCATTACATGTAATAATCAATTCTCCCATATCCCTTCATGATGATCATCTCGTGATGCATGTACTTCATCTATCTCATTATCAATAATAGTGGGCAATAAACTTGAAGAAAATGGTGGTATTTCCTCAATATCAAAACTAACATCTTCATTCTCATCTCTAGTAATTTGTCTCTTTCCATGAAGAACAATTGACCATTTTTTGTCACAAGGATCACTAATATAAAAGACTTGTTTTGCTTGGGATGCCATTATGAACTGCTCATTTTTGTGCCCTTCACGATTAAAATCAACAAGTGTAAATCCCAACTCATCAACTTTTACACCATGTTTATTATCTACCCATCTACATCGAAACACCGGCACCCTAAACAAAACATAATCAACTTCCCATATTTCTTCAATCACACCATAATATGACAACTCTGCGAACACAGGATTTGTATCTTTCGAACTACTGAAATGCATGGAATTTGCAACCAAAGTAACTCCACTGTTTTGCATAGTGCTCTTTTCATCTTGAGCTTTTGTATAAAAAGAAAACCCATTAATGTCATATCCATTATAGCATAGGACATCCAAACCAGGACCATGTGCTAACCATGAAACAGTTTCAGACATATTATTCTCTTCAATAACTTTATTTTTGAACCAACGAATAAAAGTTCGATTATGTTCGCCCACAATCCACATGTCTGTCCTTCTTGGATTTTGCTCTCTAATCAATGCCTTGTGTTCATCTAAATACGGCTCGACTTCACTTGTATTATGCAAGATGTACAAGTGTGCCTCCTCAACATCTTCACGAGGCATAGTCTTCACTTTGACTCCTCGAGTACCCTTTCCAGCAATTCTTCCTTCATGTCGATTAGTAGAAACACCAATAGCCTCTACCCCTGCCAAATATTCTGTACAAAACTCAGTAACCTCCTTTGCAACATAGCTTTCAACTATAGATGCTTCCGGCCTATATCGGTTCCTAACATAACCTTTTAATACTTTCATGTACCGTTCAAATGGGTACATCCACCTCAAATAAGCTGGACCACAATGTTTGATCTCTCTCACCAAATGCACAAGCAAATGAACCATGATATCAAAAAATGAAGGTGGAAAGTGCATCTCTAGCTGACACAGTGTAACAATAATGTCATTTTGCAATTCATCTAATTTGTTTGGATCAACAACTTTCCCACATATTGCATTGAAAAAGAAACAAAGTCTTATGATGGTATATCTCAACTTTTTAGGTAATATGCCTCTAACAGCCACTGGCAATAGTTGTTGCATTAAGACATGACAATCATGAGACTTCAACCCCACCAACTTTAAATCTTGCATATTAACAAGTTTACTGATATTTGATGAATACCATTGTGGTACCTTTACTCCACGTAAACACTCACAAAAACTTATTTTCTCCTTTCTTGATAAAGTATGAGCAGCTGGAGGCAAATATGTTCTCTTATCCCCGCAACGTGGAGCTAATGTAGGTCGTATACACATTTCAACCAAATCCAATCTAGCATTGAGTCCATCTTTAGTCTTACCTTTAATGTCTAAAAGAGTTCCAACAAGACTATCACATACATTTTTCTCCACATGCATCACATCAATACTATGTCTCACATCTAGTGTCTTCCAATATGGAAGATCAAAAAATATAGATTTCTTTTTCCACGGACTCTTCTCATTTGTAGGTATCTCTTTTGACCTCTTACCTCTTTGAGATTGAAGCTTTTGAGTCTTACCAAAAGTAACATTGATGCATTCAACTCGTTCATAAACTTGATTCCCTGTTAATGGTTGTGGAACATTTGTATAGTCTTGAACGCCATTGAATGCCTTTTTTAATTTTCTATAAGGGTGAAATTTATCAAGAAATCTCCGATGCCCCATGTATACAGTCTTTCTACCATGAACCAGTTGATGATAACAGGTATTATTTTCACATATGGGGCATGCCTTATGACCTTTGACACTATATCCAGACAAGTTACCATAAGCTGGAAAATCATTGATTGTGCAAAAAAGCATTGCATGCAACTTAAAAGTCTCCTTCCGGTATGCGTCAAACACTAATACACCTTCATCCCATAATTGCTTCAAGTCATCAATCAAAGGCGCCAAAAAAACATCTATATCATTGCCTGGTTGTTTTGGCCCAGAAATCATCAAGCTTAATAATATGTATTTGCGTTTCATACACAACCACGAGGGTAGATTATAAATTATCAACATAACTGGCTACGAGCTATGCTTGCTACTTAGGTTCCCGTGAGGGTTAATACCATCAGTACAAAGTCCAAGTCTAAGATTTCTCGACTCGTGGCCAAATTCAGGAAATGCATTATCAAATGTTATCCATTGAGAAGAATCAGCCGGGTGTCGAAGCTTGCCATCGGAAATTCTTTCATCTGCATGCCATGATAAGTTCTTCGCATCGCTTGGATTTGCAAACATGCGCTTAAATCTTGGAAGAATTGGGAGATACCACAAAACTTTAGCTGGTGGACTTTTCAAACGTACTTTACCACTCTCTCTTGTTTTATAACGAGATGCCCCGCATATTGGACATGCATGCAAGTCTTTGTAATCATTCCTAAACAATATGCAATCGTTAGGGCAAGCATGTATTTTTTTGTATCCCATACCCATGGGACACAACATCTTTTTGGCATCATATGTACTCTTGGGAAGTTCATTACCATCTGGAAGCATATCATTGACTATTTTAAGTAAAGCAGTAAAGCTCTTGTCGCTCCACCCATTCCCAGCTTTCAAGTTGAATAATTTTAATACAGCAGATAATCTGGTATATTTACTACACCCTGGCCATAAAGGTTGTTTTGAATCATTCAATAATTCATCCAACTCATTTGACCGATTGGTAAACTCTTCTCCAACATCGCGAAACATTTCATCCAACCGATCTTCAGACTCATCATCTTCATTGTCAACATACATGTTAGATGTTGTAGCCACATCGCTTTCACCGTGCCAAATCCATTGTGTATAATATGGATTAATCCCATTAACAATTAGATCATCATATATGTCTTCTTCACCTAACCTTTTCTGATTACAACATTTTGTACAAGGACAGAAGAACCTCTTATTACTATTCGGAAGGTTATTATTTGCAAACTGTAAAAAATTTCTAACTCCATCTTCATATTTCTGACTAAGTCGATTAGCTTTCATCCAACTTTTATCCATCACAAGCCAATCTAAAATAATAATAACCTAGTTAAACATTTGTTAACAACATTTTAACAAATTTATATAATTATAACTACTACAACAACTACACTATATTCATTTCGGCCAATTAGTATTACATTTTTCTCACAACATTTTAAGTTAAATTATTTGGTAAGTTATATACTTGAAAAAGGCAAATTATGGACCAAGATTCACCTAGCATGGTGGGCCTTGGTCCAAAACAACATCATTTTATATTAAGTATCAACTAGTGCAATATATTCAATATATAACATCATCATGTATTATACACTTAGCTTGTTCACTTAAATTATTTG